GCCAAAGCCGCAGCAGCTCAGCTCCGACAGCTGTGGTGGCTGAGGCTGAGGCAGGAGTAGGCAGGGCAGGAGGCGCCTCTCTCCCTCCTTCCTCCTCCCCCCTCCGTGCTTCGGGAGGTAGGGAGCGAAGGAGGAGGGAGCATGCCTGCCACCAACGGCTGCTCTCCCTGCCTGCGTGGCAGTAACAGCCACACTCAGCCACACTCCCCAGGGGGTAGCCTTTCTCTGGGGAGTGCAGGGCTGGGGCAAAGGGGTGTTGGGTAAGGCTGGTGGGTCATGGGGCAAGAGGGTGTTGGCATGGGCTGTAGGGGTCAGAAGTTAAAGGGTCAAAGGGCATAGGATGTAGAGGTGATAGTCAAAGGATTTTAGGGGAGCAAGGGGCTGGTTTGGGGTTAGGCGGACAGGCAACATTTTATTTGCATATGTGCACATTCATTATTTGCATAATGAATATGCAAATAAAATGTTGCCGGTGTGCCAAACGTTTGTGAATGGGTTTGCCAGTCCGTGGCATGAATAAGGTTGGGGATCTCTGGCACAGAGGATCATGGAGAGTTCACGGCCCAGCCCTGCTCCTGCATCCAACCTCTGGTGCCAGTTTAGCTCGGTCCCATGCCCGACACGGCAGCACTGCCCGCTGGACACCCCTGCCTGCCGCTCCCAGCGCTCACGACGGGGGGTTTATACTGGTTCAGGACTGCGGCTCAGGTTTGTGTATATAAGGTGGCCGCCTTTTTTAAAAAAAAAACCAAAAAACAGCTTTGAAAATAAAAACGCGCCAGAAGCTGGTCCACCGCGAGTTTGTTGCTAGCCCGTTCCTGCCCACATGGTCTGTGTCTAGCACAGGCCTGGAGGACGCTTGGTTCCAGATTGACTCTACACGAGCCAAACAAACGAGCGTTTTCCAGGCAGCAAAGCAAGACGTTTTCAACCCCGATTTCCTCCCAGCTGCCGCCGGACGCAGACGGGCTCAGCGCAGCTCCTGGCCAGCCGGCTGCTGGATTTGGGCAGGCATCTCGTCCTGCGGAGCTTGGTGGAGACTGGGGAAAAGGCAACGCTCCTGCCTATGCTGATCTCCCCTCGTCGCCTGTTGCCAGCACTGAGCTCGAGAGCTGGGGCGCTGTTGTGTCTGGTGCGATCGGCTCGGGGCCCTTGGTCCCACTTGTTGACTTGTTTTGAAGTTTCTGTGTCACATTCACAAAGGGGTTGATGGTTTTCAGTGGGCTCGTTTCCCAGGCCTGAATACCAGGGGGCTGTGTGAAGTGTGCTTTGCCCCCAGCCCATGCGGGAACGTCGCCAATGCCTGGTGCCTCCGGTCCATACAGACATATCCTGGCGCCCAGTGCCCCTGGCCATATGGGTACATCAGTGCCTGGTACCCCTAGCCCCTGTGGGCACATTTTGGGTGCAATGCACGGGGGTTGAGTTCCTCTCCACATTAGCCGGTTTCTTGTGCCCGGGGGAACCTCCCTGATGCTGCAACCCTGGAACATCGGGGGCCGTCGGGGTGGGGGACGAGGGAAAAGAACAAAGAACAAGGCCAGCCACCCTGAAACGTGGCAGCCTCTGATAGGTGGCTCCTTGCTGCTAATCTCTGTTTATGGTGGTTAACCGGCCAAATATCCTTCCCAGTCCCGAACAGTAAACACTGAGCGAAGAAGCAAGATAGCACATGGAACAGCTGCCACAGGTGCCCTGCAGTGCGAGAAGGGATGGCGAAGGGGAACAGGGACGGATGGGCAGCGCCCGGCTGTGGGAATGCATCTGGGTCCTGCTCCCATTCCCGGTCTTGCCCTTTCTCCGTGGGCACACTGCCCCCTTCCTCTTCCTCCCAGCCCCACACAACGTCCCCTGTTGGCTGCTCCCTTGATGGCTTGGCTTGCGTAGCTCCAGAGAATTCCTAGGGAAACCTGGGGGAGGGCACGGATGGATGCAAGTCATTTTAGATCCATATTAACCCTGCACCTTGGAGGTCTTGGAGAGGGAGACCCCACCCGTTTTATGGAAGGGTGGTGTTGTCCATAAGAGTCAACACTGGCAAAGTTAGGGCCAGGCTGAGTGCCTTTAAGAACCAGGCCTGGTCCATGCCTGGGTCTCCTCACCAGTGTTATTCAGTATTGTTCATTCATCCCACAGACTGAGCAGTGGAAGATCAGGGCCACAGGTAACTGGGCGCCTTCCCCGGGAGGGCTGGAGAGAAGCGGGAACACGTGGGCAGTATGGGGAAGCGGCTACGGTTTGAATACTTTCCGGAGTAGGTGGGTCTGGCAGGTGGATCGGGGGAAGCATGGGGGGTGAAGGAGGGAGCTTCTGGCCGAATGCCTGGGGAGCTGGAGGTGCAGAGTTGGGGCAGCGAGGAGGCCTGGGAGAATGCAGGGAGCAAGGGGGCGAAGGAGGGAGGTGGGCAGGGCTCCGGGGGGCTCTGGAGTGGTGACATGAGTAAATATAGACCAGAGGGAGTCACTGCAGCATAGGGAGAGGGGCATGACCAGGGAGAGGGGCATGACCAGCACCAAAGCATCGCAGCAGCTGCCCCAAGGTCAGAAGGAGGAGAGTGGGGCCAGCTGGCCATAGACTCACCGATTCCAAGGCCAGACGGCATCATTGTGACCATCTAGTCTGACCTGCCTAACTCGGCTCTAGCACCTCCCGGAGTGAATCCCTGGGTGGACTAGAGCAGCTCTTGATGTAACATGTGCAGCGATGGGGAATCCACCAGCCTGCCCCTCCCACCTCAGTGCATCATCCCGATGCTTAATTATCCCCCTATCAGAAACATGCCCCTGGATGTATCTAGCTTCAATTCCCAGCCACAGAACAGGCGTAGCCCTGAGACCCGGTGACTAAGGGGTGTGTGTCCATGGGGGGAGCTCACAAGGAAGCTACATGCAAGAGCTATTCTGCACTACTGCTCGTGTGGGCACTCTGATTCCCGGCTCCAGCAGATTCACCTGCTCCACCACAGGCACTCTGAGAGAAAGGGGCACTAGCATGGAATAGCTTTTCAGCACTAGCGGTGTGGCTAGGTGAGCCCTCAGTGACACACCCAAGGTCCCACAGGAAGTCTGTGTCAGAGCAGGGGGGAAATGAACCTTCGTTCCCAAGCTCCAGTCTAGCACTCTCATCACTGGACCAGCCTCCCACACCTGAGATGGGTATGGACAGAAAGGCACATAAGAATAGCCAGACTGAGTCAGACCAAATGTCCATCCAGCCCAGTGTCCTGTCTTCCGACAGTGGCCAGTGCCAGGTTCTTCACAGGGAATGAACAGAACAATCCTTAAATGATCGCTCGCCTGTCATCCACACCCAGCTTCTGGCAAACAGAGGGCAGGGGCGCCCAGCGCATAGGGTTGCATCCGCGTCCATCTTGGCTAATAGCCCTAGATGGACCTATCCTCCATGAAATTATCTAGCTCTTTTTTGAACCCTGTTATAGTCTAGGCCTTCACAACATCCTCTGGCAAGGAGTTCCACAGGTTGACTGTGTGCAATGCGAAGAAATACTTTTGTTTTTTGAAACCTGCTACCTATTAATTTGACGACTCCTAGTTCCAGTGTTATAGAGTAAATAACATTTTTTTACTTTCTCCACACCAGTCATGGGCAGGCTGGGTAAAGGAGATGGGAGCTTCTGAGGGCGAATGTCTTCACTAGAGGGTATTAGCCAGTGGGTTAGCTCTGAAGGGCTCAGGGTATGTCTACGTTACAGAGTTTTTTCAGAAAAATGGCCGTTTTGCTGAAAAAACCTTCACTTACGTCCACACTGCAATCGCGTTCTTCCGAAAGAAAATCGAAAGAACAGAGGGGTTTTTCCGACATTGGTAATCCTCATTCTACGAGGAAGAAGCCTTTTTGTGCAAGAGCTCTTTCGGAAAAGGGCGTGCGTGGATGGGGAAGAGGGAGTTCTTTCTCAAGAAGAGGAAAGAGGAAAAAGCACAGGTGCCCTGGTGGCTACTCCATCCATAGTAATCACAACTGAAATGTGAGATAGCATCCATTCAGTGTGGACGCTATCTGTCAAAAAAGCAGATGGCTTTTTCGATGCACTTTGGCAGTGTGGACGCTCTCTTTCAGAAGTTTTTCCGGAAGATCTCTTCCGGAAAAGCTTGGTCTGAAGGAAGCCTGCAGTCAAGACATACCTCACAGGAGGGGAAGGCTTGGGAAGATGCTGTCATGCATGGACATATTCCCCAGAGCTGCTTGGGCCCGGAACATCCGCAAGGAGCTGTCTGCATGTGAAAGTGCTGGTGTGTGTGTGTTGGAGGGGGAGGGGACAGGCATTGGGCTGGAAGAGGAGTAGGTGCTGACCATGTGGGCAAAAGGAGAGGT